TCGATGAATTTTGTACTTTTTACATGTAGGGTCGTATTTACAGCTACATCTACATTGTGAGGAAGAATCTCCCTCTAAGACGTGCACACTGAGCCGTGTTAACATGCTGCTGCAGTGTTGTAAGAATAAACTAACACTCAGTCTCTTGTCGGGGCTGAAGTCTGGAGTTGAGAAATAACCTCCAAATGGTAAACAAAGCCTGATAATCAACTGTGATTTGGTTAGATTGTAGCATGGCTGCAGCTCTGACACGTGTTACAGAACGCAAAGGTCAATAATCTGCTAAAACTATGTGGACACTCTTGTTCTTAGCCTCTTGGTTCCAGTGAGGAAATGTCTTAATGCAAAAGCCTACAATTTAGACAACATCGTCATTCCAAGCACCAGTTTGTTTAATTGCGAGTTAAACAAATGTGCCCACTGCTTGTACTGATGAACTGTCATAGCTCCAGATGCCTTTCAGTCTGTAGCAGAGCACAAACCGTATGTCTACAAGAGAGGCCAGTGTGTGAGAAAAGGGGATTATGTGACACAATCAGTACTCACTGTTGTTCAAAGGAGCCAGCATGAGTTGGCATTATCTGGGGGCTGTTTACCTGGGATGACCAGGTGAAAAGTTTTATCCTGCCGTTTCCTCTCCTCCTGATTCAGGTTTTTTGAGTACATTTACTTGTACCAGAGCATGGTGGTGTTCCAGATTGACCAGAAGACCAAGGAATGCTCAAAGATCGCTATGACTGAGGCCTGGGATCCCTTCGACATCCCTGACAATTCCACCTTCGAGGACCAGTATTTTATTGGAGGCCCTGGGGACAACGTGGAGGTTCAGGAGTGGTCAGACAGGAAGCCTGCGCGCCAACGTAAGTCTGCTTTTTAACAAAACTCATGCAGAGATGTGCACAGAGGTAGCTTTATTTGGTAAAGTTCAGAAAGCAATCCCAGACAAGAGCTATAAAACAACTGACATCTGGATAAAATACATAAAACAAGAGATGCAGCTCGAAGATTTGTTTATGTAATGAACATTAATTTCACACAAACCAAAAGGATCCTTCCAGTGAGGTTTCTTTCTCTTAAATTCCAGGCAGGTTTTTACAAATGTTAACAGATTATAAGAGCAGTTGTTGGTGGAATAAAACCTCCATTCGTTCTTTGAGTTGCCATGATGTTCATCCCCAGATGAGACCTGGGTTGGTGTTTACACCCTGAAGGACTGCTACCCAGTGCAGGAGACCTACACCAGGAACAGCAGCGTCACCACCTCTACCCGCTTCTTCAACCTCCAGCTGGGCATCAGCGACCCCAGCATCTTCATCCCTCCCAGTACCTGTCAATCAGCCCGGCCCGAGATGATGGTTGAGTCCGACTGCTGAGGCCTGGACTGCCCTCACCACTGACCTTTAATACCCAACACCATTCTGAGGGAGTGAGCAGTAAATTTCACCAATTATTGTGCAGTGCTGCCCGACTTTTAGCTCTGGTATAGATTACAGTGCAATTCATTTTTTATTCCTTTGTGAGAATTTTTTTAGACACTCTACAGTACAGTACAGTACAGTTGTAGTTAACACAGAATTTGGACACTCAATTAAAATGGTGTAGGCTAAAGTGCACTGTATAGTAAAAAGGGAGTTATTTTGGGCATGGCCTTTTTCCTAGTCTTTTATAGAACTCTTTGTTAATTTGCT